TTTGATCATGTATGATTTTAAGTGCGTGAATAGTAATTTTATTTAAGTGTTTTATTATTTCATTAATAAGTTTTTCATGTAGATCTATCTCACGCTTTTTGGCCAGTGATTGTGAGAACCCCACAAGGTGACCCTGGGTTCGAGTTCTATTTATAAAAAAAACATTGGTATAAAATCAATGGTAACCTAACTCGAATGCCCGGGTGGTAAACTGTAATTCCGGTTGTACCATCTTCTAGGACGTATGATGGAAGTATCTTTGGCACTAATAAATCCGGAAGGCAGTTAGACGAATTAGAAAACCCACTCAGGAAATCCCGAATAATGATGTAAGCCAAGTCTTCGATGATACTAAAACTGTGAATAACGAAATCTGGAGACGAACCACCCAAATGGGATAGGAACTAGGCACCGGTGAGGTAGTAAAAGTTATAGTACCAGGACTGGGAAGAACATTATAAGGGTTGGAAAACTGATTAGAAAATCCAGGGTAGACTGTAAAAAGTACTAGCGGCTAGTTGGTCGGAATTCTTTCGAGGGTAAAGTAGCCCTAAGCCGAACGAAGTGATAGTGCAGAGGCCAGCATGACTTCTAAACAAGTCACCTCTGGTCCAGGTAAATAGGAAAAAAAATTAATAAATGCGCATTCAAGTTTGATCAAATAAATGAGTCCTCGCTGCAATAAATGCAAATTAGTCAATCACACAAATGTCAAAAAATCATTATAAATTTTATATGTGAAATTTTTTTAAAAAAAAGTCGGCCGGCCACATTCATTTAAAAGTCTCATGTCATAAAAAACCAAGACGTTAAATTTGTATGGCCTTACGATGGTAGCTTTTTAATACTGAGTAGGGCTTCGTTTCACTTTATTAAGTACAACAACGTAATAACGTTAACAAATATATATATAGTTACAAGTCAACCAATGGACTAATAGCTTGTCAAATAGGTTATAAACTGTGATTTTAAACACCTTGGCGATTAATGTGGTATATAGTAGGAAATAGTATGTAGTTGTAATATGTAAAGGGTGATATAGCTAATAAGTTTAGAACAAAAAAAAAAAAATCTAAATCTTATAAAAGTTCAATCAAAATAAATCATAAAATACATCATATATATATATATATTCATCCTGTTATTTCCTGAATTTTTGCTCTAGACCTTTCAGCTAGCCGTTTAGCTGATTTAGCTAATACAATCACCGGGAAAATGTAAATGGTATAAAGTAGTGATGTTATCACAGTAAAAAGGACTGTAACATCATCGTAAGCTACAATAAAGACATTCATAAATTAAAATTATTAACTAAATTCTTTAC